TACACATCAAGAAGTCAACACCAGCAATCAACAGCCAATTATTGCACAACTATATTCTACCCACCTCAAGACTCCGCTCCAATATAGAAGCATCAAGAATATAGGACCAATAGGCTTTCTACAAACACTCTATTCAATACCCATTGTTTTGTTTCTGTCTTGTGTTGATACTTTTAATACCCTATTAATACCCCTATTGTTCTGTCTTGTGTTAATGCCACATCACCCTTCCCACCTCACTCAAATGTAGATATAAAATCAGAGAAAACGCAAGTTCTAATCAGTTGTTGTATTTGTGAAGTCTTTGAAAATGTAATAAGTTTTACGAAACGCGCCCGTGTCGCGTCAGACTAGAAATAAAAAATGAATTTTGGAGAAGTGATTTTTGATTTACCTCCAACAGTGAAGCGTAATGTACGAAAGATTGAGAAATTCGTGTTAGAATATTAATCTTACTTTTTCGGTCTTTTAATAAATATATATATATATAATATATATATATATAATATATTATATATACTATATATATATATATATATATATATATATATATATATATTATAATATATATTCAAGCTTGCGAACAAGCTTGAGTGGTCCCCAAGCCAATATAAAACTGAAAACTCCACATTCAAGCGTGTCTGCATTTGTGTTGCTCACGTGGCCCCACAAAGTGAGATGATTCCATGAAATAACTATGCCCAAGCTTACCACCAGTGTCGTCGGGACGTTGGGGATATAGCCTCGGTTACCAATGTCATTTGTACGGTCACGGTGGTCGAGTGGTTATGGTACCGGGTACGCCATAGTGATCTGGCTGTCTGAGTTCGAATCCTACTGGGGTATATATATATATATATATATATATATATATATATATATATATATATATATATATATATATATATATATATATACATATATTATGTATATAGAATATACATCTATATATGTATATATATGACAATGTCAGCCACGGAGGAAAAATGAAACAGGAATTTCTTAAGTACTTTCGTATATTAAATACATCTTCAGAAGGTTGACCTTCTGAAGATGTATTTAATATACCTAAGTACTTAAGGGAAATTCCTGTTTCATTTTCCTCCGTGGTCTGACATTGTCACATTCTAATCACGTGTTATTTTCGTGATATAAGACATGTATATATATATATTATATAGGGTTATATTAGTTTATATATCATATTATCTACATTATATTTTAATTCATATATATGTCGTACCTAAAAACGCACTTCTCATACTATGCAATGCCTAATGGATAGCTTTATCATTTCATAAGAACCTAACTTTTTAGAGAACCTAACCTAACCTAACCTATAGGAAAACTTAGGCTTGGTTAGGCAAATCTACGCCTTTTACATAATAAAAAAAGGACCTCAGACATAATGCATTCTGGCTATCATTTCAGGTAAAAATATATATATATATATATATTATATTGATATATATATATATATATATATATATATATATAATATATATATATATATATATATATATATATATATATATATGTCGTACCTAGTAGCCAGAACGCACTTCTCAGCCTACTATTGCAAGGCCCGATTTGCCTAATAAGCCAAGTTTTCATGAATTAATATGTTTTTCGACTACCTAACCTACCTAACCTAACCTAACCTACCTTTTTCGGCTACCTAACCTAACCTAACCTATAAAGATAGGTTGGGTTAGGTTAGGTAGGGTTGGTTAGGTTCGGTCATATACCTACGTTAATTTTAACTCCATCTAAAAAAAAATGACCTCATACATAATGAAATGGGTAGCTTTATCATTTCATAAGAAAAAAAGGTAGAGGAAATATATTAATTCAGGAAAACTTGGCTTATTAGGCAAATCGGGCCTTGCATAGTAGGCTGAGAAGTGCGTTCTGGCTACTAGGTACGACATATATATATATATATATATATATATATATATATATATATATATATATATATATATATATATATATATATATATATATATATATATATATATATATATATCGTGTTCATCCATTGTGGGCCATTATGCTGTATACGATGTTCTATTACTATAATTAAAATTGGCTTAAATGAGTTACAAGTTGACATGTAAATCCACTGAGTCACCCGCCTGAGGAGTGCCGTCTCGCGCCCACAAGAGTCCACCTCCCAGCGCTGCCGTGTCTACTCTTCCCAAGAGATTTCTCAATCTCTCATAATTTGCTTTACGGAAATCTGCTTACCTTATCGAGTTTTCTCTGGCACAATTTTTCTGTGTTAAGTTAAATCTAATTTCTTTATTATTGCTTATTTGTTATGATTATTGTTCCCTAACATACTCTTCTATTTCTCTCGTTTACTAGTATGTACCTGCTGGTTAGAGCAGCCTAACATACTATGTTCCTGTGTTTGTTCTGTAATTTGTAAGAATGCAGTCGTTTTCTATTCTATGCTATCCATGTATGGTAACTCTTTACTTCCTTTGAAATGTCTATACCCTTATATGACTTAGGACAGCACCGCCAAGGCCCTGTCTCTCTAGCATGAGACTTGTCAAGGTACACCATGTATGAATCCTCTCAGCTATATTTAAAATAGCGGTTGACACTAGATATTTATAAATATAAAGCTACCAAACTTTATCTAAAAAGTGGACTACAAGGTCAAGCCTCGCGTTTACCAATCAAAGAGGAGGTAGGAGAGAAAAAGAGACAATCGCCAGAAGCAGTAAGGAGAAGGCAAACTGAGAGGCCATAGCCTCTCGCCTGCTGTCAATGTCAGTAAACCCAGGATTATTAATTAAATCAAATGGAGTTCTGTGTTCACGTGACTTCTTAGTGCGCGGAGAAAGCCTACTGTTATGTGAGCTCTAAATCATGCTTAATTCAGAAAAGCAATGCCCGTTCTTTGAAATATTGGTTTATTTATACATTTTTTTCGAAATTCTCTTTCTTATGGACGTGGAATTTTGGGTGTCAATTCCTGAGCCCATTATGTGCGCCATACATTTTTCCACTGTCATTCACTGTATGGGGTCTACTACAGCTCACTGGATGGATATGGGGTCCACTCCTTCTCATGCACTAGATGGATATGAGGTTCACTACCACTCACTTGATGGGTAAGGGGTCCATTGCCGCCCACAGGATGGGTAGTCCATTACCTCCCACAGGATGGGAAGTCCACTACCGCCCACAGGATGAATATAGGGTCCACTACCGCTTTCAGGATTGGTATGGGGTCTACTACCGTTCTCAGGATGGGTAAGGAGTCCACTACCGCCCACAGAATGGGTAAGGGATCCACTACCGCCCACAGAATGGGTAAGGGGTCCACCACCGCTCACTAGACGGGTATGGGGGTCCATGAGGGGTTCACTACCTCCCACAGGATAGACATGGTATGAGAGTTGACTTAGTTCTGGAATGATTTATGTCGGTCTGCGTTCAACATTTTCCTAAGCAGATATACAAATCCTTCTGAAGGGAAAAGTCTCCATGCATGGATGCAGTAGTCCAGATGGGGGGCACACATACAATTTTTTTTACAGCTGAATTACCACCGTTTTTTTTTCCCAATCAAATGAATATACAAAAATTCGCTTGATATTTCAAGGGTTTGGCTGGCTCTTTTGTAACCATATGGTATAAGCTAATTTTGTTGAAAAAAATAAGGATGTTAGAGGTGTTTTGTTTACCTTCCATACAAAGCGACAATCTCATGCCAGTTCTACAGCCACTGACCGTCAATTGAACGACCATGGTACGTAAGGTTAGTATCAGGACAAAGTGCTACGCCAGTATGACCACATATAACTAAAGGTCCAAGTCCACATATGACCACAGATACCACATATGACCACCATGACCATGACCACATATAACTAAAGGTCCTACAGTCTCCGTGGTGTAGTGGTAAGACACTCGCCTGGCGTTCCGCGAGCGCTATGTCATGGGTTCGTATCCTGGCCGGGGAGGATTTACTGGGCGCAATTCCTTAACTGTAGCCTCTGTTTAACGCAACAGTAAAATGTGTACTTGGATGAAAAAACGATTCTTCGCGGCAGGGGATCGTATTCCAGGGACCTGCCCGAAACGCTACGCGTACTAGTGGCTGTACAAGAATGTAACAACTCTTGTATATATCTAAATAAATAAAAAAAAATAAAGGATATGAAAATAATCAAGGAACAGAGATTTGTAAGTAGGCTAAGTGGTAGGATTTGAGGCCAGGCTATAAGCTAGGATTTGAAGATTGGTTAAGAGCCAGGATTTCAGGCCAGGCTAAGAGCTAGGATTTGAGGATTAGTTAAAAACTAAGATTTGAGGATAGGCAAGAGCTAGGATTTGAGGACAGACTAAAAGCTAGGATTTGAGGGCAGGCTAAGAGTAAGGATTTAAGGACAGACTATGAACTAGGATTTGAGTTTAGGCTAAAACTATGAATTGTACCCTCAGGAATTGACCGCTAATGCTGGTTGAAGCGAGGCTGTCGCTGCGTTACCGGTTGATGAGTACGCGAAGGTACCTTATTTCAGGTGATGGATACCTGAAATAGGATGGTGATGAGTATGTGATTAAACTGACGAGAAGACCTTCCTAAAGGGAATCAAACGCCTGCAGGAACAATTATGGGGAGGGGAGAAGGGAATGGAATATATATTCCCATGTAGGTGTAGGCATACTGTCTACCTCTGTGCTCAAAATGTTTTGAATGCCATTGGTAATAGAGAATCAATATGTCTGAGGCCTGAACAACGAGGCATGTCCGCGACGACGATGAAGTGTGACAACGTTACAAGGAAAACGAGTTAGGTACAATAACGAAGTAGATTGGTTGGCACGAGGGCGTGAGAGTGTACCCTGTTGTGAAGGGTCGTCCTTGAGAAGGGGTCAAGTGTGGAGGGGAGACAAGTGATGGGGGGAAGGGGGGGATGAAGGGGATAGTTAGTGGTGACTGATGGCATCCACGGGTCATCCGAGATCCTATATAACATGGTGATATACTCTCTCTCTTTACGCTAGGCGTCTTGCTGTGTCTCCTCCACCACCACCACCACCATGACAGTCTCGAGCCTTCAACCACTGCTGCTGCTACTTATTCTGTCACATTGTCTGGCAGCTGGAGGTATATATTTAATATATATATATATATATATATATATATATATATATATATATATATATATATATATATATATATATATATATATATATATATATATATATATATATATATATATATATATATATATATATATATATGACATATGTCGTACCTAGTAGCGAAAACTAACTTCACGGCCTTATATGAATGTGACAATTTGCAGACCAAGCGGAGTTTTCCTGAAACAGGATATTTCCTCTAAGTACTTTTCGTATGAAATGATAAAGCTACCCATCTCATCATGTATGAGGTCAAGATGTATTATGAAGATGTAATTAACGTAGATATACGACGGAAGCTCATCAACCCTACCTAACCTGACCTAACCTATTTTATAGGTTACGAAAGGTTACTTAGCCGAAATTGTCCTGTTAGGTCATTTTAGGTTCGTTAGGTAGTCGAAAAACAATTAATTCATGATATATATATATTATATAGGCAAATATATATATGCATAGTAGGCTGAGAAGTATATATCTATATACTAGGTACGACATATATATATATATATATATATGTCGTACCTAGTAGCCAGAACGCACTTCTCAGCCTACTATGCAAGGCTCGATTTGCCTAATAAGCCAAGTTTTCCTGAATTAATATATTTTCTCTAATTTTTTTCTTATGAAATGATACAGCTACCCATTTCATTATGTATGAGGTCAATTTTTTTTCATTGGAGTTAAAATTAACGTAGATATATGACCGAACCTAACCAACCCTACCTAACCTAACCTAACCTATCTTTATAGGTTAGGATAGGTTAGGTATCCGAAAAAGTTAGGTTAGGTTAGGTTAGGTAGGTTAGGTAGTTGAAAAAACATTAATTCATGAAAACTTGGCTTATTAGGCAAATCGGGCCTTGCATAGTAGGCTGAGAAGTGCGTTCTGGCTACTAGGTACGACATATATATATATATATATATATATATATATATATATATATATATATATATATATATATATATATATATATATATATATATATATATATATATATATATATATATATATGTAATTCGGTGTCTTAGATTCCTTAAATTCCAAAATTTTACCATCAATAGTATTTTATTATTGGAATTTGTAAGCTTTAGCGACTGCATATTTGGGAACTCACTTAATAATAATAATAAATTTACTTATCAGTTACTGAAGTGTATTTGTAACTCATTTCACATAGAATATTTGTTTATTTTTTAGTTTATTTCCCTGTACCTATAACTGGTCCGTATTGGATAAGTTTATGCTTTATTTTGAATAGGCTTTTTACTTCTATATTTGCTATTATAATATTTGTGATAGCAACATTTTGAAAACAAATATTGAATAAAGCATTAATTTGCTTAAATTCAAGTGAGGACCACCATCTCTAGTGGCCTCGACGGTGACAGGAAGCCGAAGGCTTGTCAAACCCTTCCTTCATTCCCCATTAAACCTGAAGATTTTTCCAGTTTGATTTCAAAGAAACAAATTCTAAAAGTTTAATTAGACACTCCATCGTGGTCCCACTGACGACTATTCCATCAGTTAGTATTAACATGGGTCTACATTCTCATATTCAGCCCGTCCTCCTAAGGTTCACCAACGTCAAGAAACTGTCCTACTAAAGTGCCCTTATCCTAACCTACCACAGGACCTAAAACAGAAAACGGGACAGTGTGTACATTTCGCCAGCCGCTACCATTTTCTAGTACGACCATTTTTGGTCTTAGGGAGAGTAGTACCTAAAAATGCGGCGGTTTATTAGGAGGATGGGTTACTCCTATTAAGTCGTAGTTACAAAAATAATCAGGAATTAAAGGGGGACCATTATAAGCCGCCGGCTTCATGTCCCTGTCGAGGTTACTATAGAGATGGAGGCCTCTCGGGTAAGTCCAACGAAGTCATTTTTAAAATACAATAAACCTAGGTCTAATTACGCATTTTACACCACATAATGTTAATTAAGATGTATATTAAAAATATAAATGAGCGACGTATAAGACAAGTTCTGTTAAGAAAATAATTATCCCGGGTGTCTTTGGAGAGCAAATTGTGTATGACAGGAAGTTATGTCCTTAACTAACCTGGCCTAACTTGGCCTGGCGTAACCTAACATGGCGTAACCAAACCTGGCCTTATTTATCCTGACCTAAACTAACCTGGCCTGGCCTAACCTAACATGGCGTAACCAAACCTGGCCTTATTTATCCTGACCTAAACTAACCTGGCCTTGCCTAACATGACGTAACCTGGCTTAACCTAATATAACCTGGCTTAAACTAACCTGGCCTTGCCTAACCTAACATGGCGTAACCAAACCTGGCCTTATTTATTCTGACTTAAACTAACCTGGCCTGGCCTAACCTAACATGGCGTAACTAAACCTGGCTTAATTTATTCTGACTTAAACTAACCTGGCCTGGCCTAACCTAACATGGCGTAACTAAACCTGGCTTAATTTATTCTGACTTAAACTAACCTGGCCTGGCCTAACCTAACATGGCGTAACCAAACCTGGCCTGGCCTAATGTAACATGGCTTAAACTAACCTGGCCTGGCCTATCCTGGCCTAAACTAACCTGGCCTGGCCTAACCTAACATGGCGTAACCAAACCTGGCCTTATTTATCCTGACCTAAACTAACCTGGCCTGGCCTAACCTAACATGGTGTAACCAAACCTGGCCTTATTTATCCTGACCTAAACTAACCTGGCCTGGCCTAACCTAACATGGTGTAACCAAACCTGGCCTTATTTATCCTGACCTAAACTAACCTGGCCTGGCCTAACCTAACATGGTGTAACCAAACCTGGCCTTATTTATCCTGACCTAAACTAACCTGGCCTGGCCTAACCTAACATGGTGTAACCAAACCTGGCCTTATTTATCCTGACCTAAACTAACCTGGCCTGGCCTAACCTAACATGGCGTAACCAAACCTGGCCTTATTTATCCTGACCTAAACTAACCTGGCCTGGCCTAACCTAACATGGCGTAACCAACCCTGGCCTTATTTATTCTGACCTAAACTAACCTGGCCTGGCCTAACCTAACATGGCGTAACCAACCCTGGCCTTATTTATTCTGACCTAAACTAACCTGGCCTGGCCTAACCTAACATGGCGTAACCAACCCTGGCCTTATTTATTCTGACCTAAACTAACCTGGCCTGGCCTAACCTAACATGGCGTAACCAACCCTGGCCTTATTTATTCTGACCTAAACTAACCTGGCCTGGCCTAACCTAACATGGCGTAACTAAACCTGGCCTTATTTATTCTGACCTAAACTAACCTGGCCTGGCGTAACCTAACATGGCGTAACCAAACCTGGCCTTATTTATCCTGACCTAAACTAACCTGGCCTGGCCTAACCTAACATGGCGTAACCAACCCTGGCCTTATTTATTCTGACCTAAACTAACCTGGCCTGGCCTAACCTAACATGGCGTAACCAACCCTGGCCTTATTTATCCTGACCTAAACTAACTTGGCCTGGCCTAACCTAACATGGCGTAACCAACCCTGGCCTTATTTATTCTGACCTAAACTAACCTGGCCTGGCCTAACCTAACATGGCGTAACCAACCCTGGCCTTATTTATTCTGACCTAAACTAACCTGGCCTGGCCTAACCTAACATGGCGTAACCAACCCTGGCCTTATTTATCCTGACCTAAACTAACCTGGCCTGGCCTAACCTAACATGGCGTAACCAACCCTGGCCTTATTTATTCTGACCTAAACCAAACCTGGCCTGGCCTAACCTAACATGGCGTAACCAACCCTGGCCTTATTTATTCTGACCTAAACTAACCTGGCCTGGCCTAACATAACATGGCGTAACTAAACCTGGCTTAATTTATTCTGACTTAAACTAACCTGGCCTGGCCTAACATGGCAAATCCAAACCTGGCCTAATGTAACCTGGCATAAACTATCCTGACCTTGGCTAACTAACCTGGCCTAGCCTAACATGACGTAACCTGGCTTAACCTAATATAACCTGGCTTAAACTATCCTGACCTTGGCTAACTAACCTGGCCTGGCCTAACCTGACCTTACTAACGCAAGGATGGTTAATATTTGGTTTAATTTATAATTCATCAGAAGATACAATGATATAGACCCATAAGAGCGCAGCGCCCCGGTTAGCATAGTATTATTAGTTAGATTATGTACCCCATGCGTACCCATCCTCGGGGTAATGGTGGGAAAAGGTCACAAACTTATAATGGCTACAGGAACTCAACCCCAGAATTAATTAATTCATTGTGTAAGGGGACAAGCAGCCAATATATATATATTCACAGTACATGTTAAGCTTGTATCCCCCTACCCCCCCCCCAGGTCGAATTACTGACCCTCCCCAGGGTACAACCCCACAACAGGCTGACTAACTCCTGGGTGCCTATTTACTGCTAGGTGGACAGGGGTATTAGGCGATAGGAAACGCGCCCATTTTCGTTCCGGATTCGAACCCGGAATTCTCGATTGTGGGTCAAGAACGAACCCGAATGTGCTGCCGAGACCCTTCTCGGTAGTAAAAATTTAATTTAATTTTAATTACATGCAATAATTTCAATTTCATATAATTACATTCAATAATTTTAATTTCATATAATTGCATTCAATAATTTTTAATTACGTTCAATACTTTTTAATTATGTAACGTACGATTATGTTACGTTGTTGGGTAGATTAGATACACAGTGTTTAGTGAGTTTTCATATTTATTTGTTAGTCTTGGATACAGCAGTGTCGTAGACGTTGTGACGAAGCCTGGAGCAGCGCAGAGAGCTGAGTGTGGCCGGAGTCGTGGAGCTCTTATGTGGGAGAGCGTTGTAGCTGGATGCGGTCTTGGTCTGCTGTCTGCTCTGTGCCGAGGCTGTAGCGTCTTGGAGACTATTAGAACTGTGCACGCCGAGTGCTACATTCTTGACTGTGGAAATTGTACTGTTGATTATTCTGATTGATTGATAAAGATTAAGCCACCCAAGAGGTGGCACGGGCATGAATAGCCCGTAAGTGGTACAATTTTTTGTTCAGTAAATCTTTTCAGTGTTCTGAGGTTGCATTTAATCGTCAAGCTGCTGTCGCGGGGGAGGATACTGCTTCACAGTCTTTATGAGGGTGTCCAGCTGCTGGACACCTGTGTTGACCAGAAGAGTGGCTGTGTTGACGGCTTCAGGGTGGCCACTGCATGATTCAGGGACTCTTAAAGCTCTTCTAAGGTCATTGGTTGCTTCACATTCCAGGAGATAGTGAAGTAATGGCTTTTCTGTGACAGTTTGGCAGAAGATGCACTCTCTCTGTCGGGGTTCACCAATCTCCCAGTTGCATCTGTAACCTAGACGTAGTCTATATAACCTAACTGCTATTTCCCTGTGGATTCCTTTTGGGATATTTAACCTTTCTAATTTGGTTGCCTGAAGATACCATGTTGCAGAGGGCGAACCTTCAGCTATTCTCTGGTGTAGATAGACTTTGTTGAGGTGTGAGTGACCAAATGGTTGTTGTTCTTGTTGTTTTAGATTTACCTACTCAGAACGAAGTGTCCGTGTAGCACAAGCTATGGTGAACCCGTAGTGGACTTACTTGGCACAGGAGCGGGGCAAGTAGCACAAGCTATGGTGAGCCCGTAGTGGACTTACCTGGCACAGGAGCGGTGATGTACGTTGCTGTTCGACTGATTGATGAAGATTAAGCCACCCAAAAGGTGGCACGGGCATGAATAGCCCGTAAGTGGTGGCCATTTTGAGCCATTACCAGTATCAACTCTTGATACTGGAGATCTGTGGAGGTGCGACTGCACCCTGCGTGACGGGAGATGTCTCCTGTGCTACACCTCAGCTTCCTCCACTAGGATTGGAGGCTGGGAGAACTGTTACCTGTAATTAGGGAAGAGATTATAGCTTCTGCAATTGGTGCTAATTAGTTACACCATTAAGATAATGATAGATTGGAGCGAGTATAAGGTTTACTCGCTACAATTACTTTTAATTACATTAAATAATTACAATACATTCAGCTGAGCTAGTTACATAGTTTAACGTAATATATCAACAGAATTGTAACCCAATGAGGCAAGAACTGGACCTCAACAAGAAATGTATCCTGCACTAAGCCAGTGGGCGTTGGAGCTCATTTTTACAAAAGTTTCCTATGTAAAATGTCCATTTTCTTTTATTAATAAAACATCTTGGTTTTCTTTGACAGTTCCTAAATGGCGGACTGGTCGAGATGAGAGCAAGACCCGCTCAGTCTGTAAGTAATAATAATAATTTATTTATTTATTTATTTATTATATATATACAAGAAGTTACATTGGGTTTATGAGAGTACATAGCATGATGTTGTTGTTGTTATAGATTCAGCTACTCGGAACAAGTTCCAAGTAGCACGGGCTATGGTGATCCCGTAGTGGACTTACCTGGCACAGGAGCGGGGCAAGTAGCACGGGCTATGGTGAGCCCGTAGTGGACTTACCTGGCACAGGAGCGGGGCAAGTAGCACGGGCTATGGTGAGCCCGTAGTGGACTTACCTGGCACAGGAGCGGGGCAAGTAGCACGGGCTATGGTGAGCCCGTAGTGGACTTACCTGGCACAGGAGCGGGGCAAGTAGCACGGGCTATGGTGAGCCCGTAGTGGACTTACCTGGCACAGGAGCGGGGCAAGTAGCACGGGCTATGGTGAGCCCGTAGTGGACTTACCTGGCACAGGAGCGGGGCAAGTAGCACGGGCTATGGTGAGCCCGTAGGGGACTTACCTGGCACAGGAGCGGGGCAAGTAGCACGGGCTATGGTGAGCCCGTAGTGGACTTACCTGGCACAGGAGCGGGGCAAGTAGCACGGGCTATGGTGAGCCCGTAGGACGACTTACCTGGCACAGGAGCGGGGCAAGTAGCACGGGCTATGGTGAGCCCGTAGTGGACTTACCTGGCACAGGAGCGGGGCAAGTAGCACGGGCTATGGTGAGCCCGTAGTGGACTTACCTGGCACAGGAGCGGGGCAAGTAGCACGGGCTATGGTGAGCCCGTAGTGGACTTACCTGGCACAGGAGCGGGGCAAGTAGCACGGGCTATGGTGAGCCCGTAGTGGACTTACCTGGCACAGGAGCGGGGCAAGTAGCACGGGCTATGGTGAGCCCGTAGTGGACTTACCTGGCACAGGAGCGGGGCAAGTAGCACGGGCTATGGTGAGCCCGTAGTGGACTTACCTGGCACAGGAGCGGGGCAAGTAGCACGGGCTATGGTGAGCCCGTAGTGGACTTACCTGGCACAGGAGCGGTGCAAGTAGCACGGGCTATGGTGAGCCCGTAGGAGGACTTACCTGGCACAGGAGCGGTGCAAGTAGCACGGGCTATGGTGAGCCCGTAGTGGACTTACCTGGCACAGGAGCGGGGCAAGTAGCACGGGCTATGGTGAGCCCGTAGGAGGACTTACCTGGCACAGGAGCGGTGACTCTGGGGATATCAAAGATATATTTATTTCTTGTGTGGTGCTCATGAGTTCTATTACATCTATCACGGAAAAGTTTCAGATCAAGATAGCATTTAAGAAACAAGGTTTTGTACATGTAGATAGCACTTTTTTTTTTTTTTTTTTTTAGATATATACAAGAGTTGTTACATTCTTGTACAGCTACTAGTACGCATAGCGTTTCGGGCAGGTACCTGCCCAGGTTTCGGGCAGCGAAGAATCGCTGTTATAACCAAGTACCCATTTTACTGTTGAGTTAAACAGAGGCTTTGCGCCCAGTAAATCCTCCCCGGCCAGGATACGAACCCATGACAAAGCGCTAATAATTCTATAAAACAAATAGCTTGCTTACTATAATATTATAATTACACTATAGTTAATTACTAAAGTTACACTGAAACAAAATGAGGTAGATTAATTAGAGATACACTCAGGTACACTGAGTAATAAAGTGTATACTAGAGGACACAGGCGGAGCCAGTGTACAATGGAACAAGGGAGTATATAAACAATAGAGTAAAACCAAGAAAAAAAGATACAATAATAAAGATGACAATTTTTTTTTAAATACAATTAAAACCTTTTGAAAGGAAAGGCCGAGCTATAGTACACATAGGTAGTTAGATGAGACTATCATTTGTATTCTGGTTATTCAGCAGCTGTTATCTCACAGTCATTCAGGAAAGAATTGAGGTGAGCTTCAGTGGTTATTACATAGGTTTTTCCAGTGTTAGTCTTCTTAGCTATAATTTTACCACTTCGCACAAAACAATGTTTAATTACAGGGGAATTTTTGCAGAAACCACGCAGTTTAAGTAAGAGATTTTGTCTGAACCTGGTCAGACATTCATTCACATAAACAGTGGATTTACTATAGAGACTGCAGTTCTGATAAGGTCTGACTTGCGGGAGCAGCAATATAATTTAACACAAATTTTCCTGTTATTTGTACCAGATGATTTGATATCCACTCTATAATACTTACCTGGCACAGGAGCGGGGCAAGTAGCACGGGCTATGGGGAGCCCGTAGGAGGACTTACCTGGCACAGGAGCGGGGCAAGTAGCACGGGCTATGGTGAGCCCGTAGGAGGACTTACCTGGCACAGGAGCGGGGCAAGTAGCACGGGCTATGGTGAGCCCGTAGGAGGACTTACCTGACACAGGAGCGGGGCAAGTAGCACGGGCTATGGTGAGCCCGTAGGACGACTTACCTGGCACAGGAGCGGGGCAAGTAGCACGGGCTATGGTGAGCCCGTAGGAGGACTTACCTGGCACAGGAGCGGGGCAAGTAGCACGGGCTATGGTGAGCCCGTAGTGGACTTACCTGGCACAGGAGCGGGGCAAGTAGCACGGGCTATGGTGAGCCCGTAGGAGGACTTACCTGGCACAGGAGCGGGGCAAGTAGCACGGGCTATGGTGAGCCCGTAGTGGACTTACCTGGCACAGGAGCGGGGCAAGTAGCACGGGCTATGGTGAGCCCGTAGGAGGACTTACCTGGCACAGGAGCGGTGGCAAGTAGCACGGGCTATGGTGAGCCCGTAGGAGGACTTACCTGGCACAGGAGCGGGGCAAGTAGCACGGGCTATGGTGAGCCCGTAGGAGGACTTACCTGGCACAGGAGCGGGGCAAGTAGCACGGGCTATGGTGATCCCGTAGCTTACCTGGCACAGGAGCGGGGCAAGTAGCACGGGCTATGGTGAGCCCGTAGGAGGACTTACCTGGCACAGGAGCGGTGCAAGTAGCACGGGCTATGGTGAGCCCGTAGGAGGACTTACCTGGCACAGGAGCGGTGCAAGTAGCACGGGCTATGGTGATCCCGTAGCTTACCTGGCACAGGAGCGGGGCAAGTAGCACGGGCTATGGTGAGCCCGTAGGAGGACTTACCTGGCACAGGAGCGGTGCGGAGAGAGGACAGCGTTTCGGCAATAACAATAATATATTGTAATATATATATATAAGGTACATTATAGCAAGGTTTTATATCAACAAATAACTACAACGTAAGTTGACAGAGGTGATTACACTGGTGAAGATATATGTCATAAGTACTAATGCTGGGGACGTGGGCAGTACAAGACACAGTGTGAGTTTGAAGCACAAGGTAGGAAACTATGAGGATGAAATTAGGTACTTTTTGGTTTGACTTTGAACAGGACATGGGATGGACAATTGTTTAATTCATCAGGGAGTGAGTTCCATAAACTGATTCCTTTTATGTGCATGGAGTGTTGCACAGATTTAGTCTGACTCTGGGGATAGCAAAGATATATTTATTTCTGGTGTGGTGCTCATGGGTTCTATTACACCTATCACGGAAAAGTTTCAGATCAAGATGCATTTAAGAAACAAGGTTTTGTACATGTAGATAGCACATTTTTTTTTGAGATATATACAAGAGTTGTTACATACTTGTACAGCTACTAGTACGCATAGCGTTTCGGGCAGGTCACTGGGCAGGGACCTGCCCAGGTTTCGGGCAGCGAAGAATCGCTGTTATAACCAAGTACCCATTTTACTGTTGAGTTAAACAGAGGATTGCGCCCAGTAAATCCTCCCCGGCCAGGATACGAACCCATGACAAAGCGCTAATAATTCTATAAAACAAATAGCTTGCTTACTATAATATTATAATTACACTATAGTTAATTACTAAAGTTACACTGAAACAAAATGAGGTAGATTAATTAGAGATACACTCAGGTACACTGAGTAATAAAGTGTATACTAGAGGACACAGGCGGAGCCAGTGTACAATGGAACAAGGGAAGATATAAACAATAGAGTAAAAACAAGACAATAATAAAGATGACAATTTTTTTTTAAATACAATTAAAACCTTTTGAAAGGAAAGGCCGAGCTATAGTACACATAGGTAGTTAGATGAGACTATCATTTGTATTCTGGTTATTCAGCAGCTGTTATCTCACAGTCATTCAGGAAAGAATTGAGGTGAGCTTCAGTGGTTATTACAAAGGTTTTTACAGTGTCCGTCCTCTTAGCTATAATTTTACCACTTCGCACAAAACAATGTTTAATTACAGGGGAATTTTTGCAGAAACCACGCAGTTTAAGTAAGAGATTTTGTCTGAACCTGGTCAGACATTCATTCACATAAACATTGGATTTACTATAGAGACTGCAGTTCTGATAAGGTCTGCCTTGCGGGAGCACTTATCTAATTTAACACAAATTTTCCTGTTATTTGTACCAGATGATTTGATACTCACTCTATAAGCTGGTTTGATGTCACTTGTTTGGATTGAATACCTTATCTTATCCTGCAATTTTCTGAATCACGATGACAGCACAGTCTTCTCCTTCAGAGTCTTGGGGAAAAATCATGTGAAAAGATAACAACAGAATGAAGTAGTTTATGTTGTTCTGTTTCGTCTTGGGTAACAGTGTGTTGCTGTTGTAGGGTGTTAAGATGGTTCTCAAACTTTTGTAATATTTCTTCCTGTGTTCTAGTGGTTTCTGCTGGTTTAAAGTCAGTAACTGTGTTCTTGAGAGAGCTTAATTCTTGTTCGAGGAGGTCGACTCTGGTAGACAGATCTTGATTATTCTTGAGTATGGGCTGTAGCTTCACCTTGCAGGTTCATTATTAAGGCAGATTGTTCTTGGATTACTGACATTTGGTCTTCATGTATTTGGGTTAATAACTTGAGCCATGGGTTATCAGCAAAGCGGTTGAAGTCGGAACAAGGGGCGGCAGCTCGTTTAAGTTGATCTATATGGCTATATAATTGTTGCATGGCCCGTGCCGATATTGGTGCACCACCCAGCTGAGATGGTTTGTTATTGTTGTCGAGGGGAGAGTCGGTGCCCCCCACCCCCCTCCGGCCCTCGTGGGAGGGACAACTGAACTAGTCATGTTGCTATTTAGTCCTGATAGGTGTGCTATCTTTCTTAGTAGCCTTACCGTACTTGGGTTTGCTACTCACGGTAGCAGGATAAATGTAGGCAGGCACACAAGAGGGAAGACTCGTTGATGCCGCAGCAGTTTTTTTATTATTATTATTTTCTACCACAAACGTGGCCACACATTTACAATGCTAACCAGCATATATACATTTTCTTCTGTCCTCCATGGACAGGGTTAGAGATGTGTTAAACATATACTTCTGGGATTTATTGAACACTCAACCACAGAAGGTGATTCGGTGCTTTTAAAATGCTAAGCTAACCTACATACGTAAATACATAGATACACAGATTTATGGATGCTCTACATAAAGTGTTGAATGTGTCTTTTACATAGTGTCATTAATGTGCATTTACAAAGGTGCAAAATAATTCTGATCAGCTTCCATATATACTTTATACACATACATATACATACACACACATATACGTACATATACATATATACACACACACATTCATTCACATACATTTGTCTCTTTTACTCTGACAGGGTGAGATAGCTGATAGAGAAACTAGTGTGCAATTAAGCACTAAATCACTCAAGGTGATTAAGGTGCTTTTACAAGCTCAGGTTATATAGTTCCATCACATACATACATTGTATAATTGATACATTACATGGTTAATCTTGGATACAAGTCCAATATATCATCAAGTGTTCCAGTACTCATATAGTAACTACAGAGTTCAGCATACCTTAGCCCAGGGGGCGAAAGTTAGTCAATATGGGACATTCTACAATATAATGTTCAAGAGAGTGCATGTTTTCTCTTTCACAAAGTTGACACATTGTGTACTCGACATTTGGGTTTTGAGAAAGCTGCCAGATACGTCTATATCCCAGGCGTATTCTGGCCACTATAACATCACATTGCCGGGTTCTTGTTCTATTAGTCCCATATGTGAATGTCTCCTCACGATATCTATCATAATATTTAATGCTACAACTTTCAGGTCTTTGTGAATTTGTCAGGTCGGTGAGATCTTCATTAGATATTTGTGTAAGTATTCTCTTTGTCACTGCTAATGAAACACCCATATCAATTTCTACCACTGGTTTTCTACAGGCTGACTTAGCAAGCATATCAACAGTGTCATGCCTTGAGATGCCAACATGTGATGGTATCCACAGGAATTTAATTTCAAATCTGTTTTCTTTAGCAGCTAAAACATTCATTCGAATATCACTGACTATTTTCTGGGTGTCACTACTATGTGCGTTCAATGCCAGGAGTGCACTCTGCGAGTCACAGTATATAAGTCCACTGCCATTGTCTTAACAATTCAGTGGCAAGGTACATGCCTGCAAGTTGGGTACTTGCCCAATCATTGACGCGCTTCATTGCTGTATGTACGAGAGAAGATTGTTCAAATATATTACATGCACATCCGGTACATCGTCCACCTTCTTCTACAGAGCCGTCGGTATAGCACTGATATACATTGTTACCCATACTCTGAGTACTCTCAGCGATGCTGCACAGTGTTAACTGTTTTAATACTGTAGAGTGTACACTATCTTTCTTGGGCGCATTTACAAAATCAACTGATAGATCTAATTATCCCATGGATAATTAATCTGATTAATCATTAATTGAGTTGGGTACATATTTAATATTTTGATGGAGTTGGCTACCTTGTAGAACGAAAATGCATAATCAGATTTCGTTCTTCTTCTATAGACCTCAGGTGAGTGTAGCATATTAGAAAGTTTAGCTTGAAAACTTCATGTGTTGTCTAGATCTACTCAATGCCTTCACGCCGAAAACTGTGCTAATAGACAAAATTCTCTCACTTATGGTAGGTAATTTTAACTCTGCTCTCATATTAACTATTCTCGTGGACTTTGGAGCCCCAAGGATGAGACGCATAGCTTCATTTTGCAAGGTTTCAAGAGATTTCAGCTCTTTGTCAGTATACAGTGTGAGATGTAGAGTATTGTAGTCAATCACAGAGCGTATAAATGATGCATAAAACATTCTAGCAAGTCTCACGTTGATTCCATGATTGACACCAACAAGGACCCGCAAGGGCTTTAATCTCTCCCAGAGTCTCCTCTTGAGAGAAGACAGGTACCCAGGGTCGTTAATGGGGACACCAAGGTATCTGTAAGACTCGCAGTGAACGTCGGGTACAGCTTTCCCCAGGGAGCAACACTAGTGAGGCCGAACTGAGATTAAGTGGGTTGGTCTTGATGATTGTTTCAATCATATTTGGGTCACTGAGTACTTAGCTGCCTTCTGGGGATGCTACATCATTTGTGGGGTTGCTGAGAGCTCAGGGAGCAGCAGATAAGAGTGGAGGGGCGGCGGGGCCGACAGGTGCAGTCGAGCGCTCGAGTTTTGTTATAGTTCTGATAGCAGATTTTTGCTGAGTGATGATAGGCTTGAGGTAGTCTTCAGTGGTTGAGCCCCATGCACAGACACCGTATGTAAGATAGGGATAGATTAGTGCGTAGTATAATGAGAGGAGAGCAGAGTGGGGAACATAATATCTGATTTTAGAAACTATACCAACCGTTTTTGAGACTTTTTTGGTTCCTGTCTATGTATAGGCCAAGGAACGTCCCTCATTTGTATTGGTAACGTTAACATTGTCTATCTGAAGTTGAATCTGATTTAAGGATTTACAACCAAATAAAATGTACAAAGTCTTTTTTATGTTTAGTGTAAGTTTGTTGGTTGACATCCACGAGTGGAATATTTTTAATTCACCGTTGACAATATTATTTAGTGTGTGGGGGGGGGGGGTCAGAATAGACGAGGCTACCTTCGTCCATTCTGACCCCAACCTCCACACACTAAATAGTCCACTTGCTGGTGACCTTTAATGACCTTTTTCTCCTCCTGCCCGGCAGATAAAGATCAGGACCACTTAGGGGTCATGGGTCGAGGTCAACACAAGACTAAGCCTTCAGCAGTGGTGGAAGGTAAGTTGACCACAATGAGCATACTGTCTTTGTTGTAGTTGTTAGTGGCTCTAGGGGCCTTATATTGTTCTTGTTGTGGTTGTTGCTGGCTATAGGAGCCCGATATTGTCCTTGTTGTGGTTGTTGCTGGCTATAGGAGCCAGATATTGTCCTTGTTGTGGTTGTTGCTGGCTATAGGAGCCAGATATTGTCCTTGTTGTGGTTGTTGCTGGCTATAGGAGCCAGATATTGTCCTTGTTGTGGTTGTTGCTGGCTATAGGAGCTAGATATATGGTTTTAATATATATATATATATATATATATATATATATATATATATATATATATATATATATATATATATATGATGAAACATTAAAATATTCTTTCAAATCATTCTGCACTCTGAATGTTGTCTATTTGTATTTTATTTTGAAATTTTTGTTCAATAATTTATTTTATGGGCACCTTTCGTGGCCTGCTCAGATGACTGAGAATAGCTGCATTAGGCAGTATACAGTCGGAAAGGTGGGGTCCAAGAGCTAAGTGCTAATAGCACAAATAGGGTAAAACCTAGAGAGAGGATGGAGGTGAGGCAGTAGTCTTGTAGAGTCTTACCTTGACAGACAGCGCCTACTGGAACCTGAAGATGCAGGAGGAGCTGCAGGCGCAGCTGGAAAAGGAGCCCATTGTGCGCCAGGCGAAGAACGTCATCTTGTTCCTCGGCGACGGGACCTCCATCTCCACCCTGACGGCCGCCAGGCTCCTCAAGGGACATCGAACTGGTAACTTCGAGCACGAGGTTATGGCCTACGAGAAGTTCCCTTACTCCACCCTCATCAAGGTGAGTGCCAGAGTGGGCGGGAGTGAAGGGCAGATGAGTGGGAGGGAGTGAAGGGCAGATGAGTGGGCGGGAGTGAAGGGCAGATGAGTGGGAGGGAGTGAAGGGCAGTTTTTTTCTTTCAGGGATATTCCTGCGCGGGCCCTAAGCCTCTGGCTGGTTTTACTTGGGCGGAGTATGAGTATTTGTTTGACTCGTATGGTCGCTTCAGTAAGATTTTGTTCCACGTGTTTAACAACTTCTGCTCTGTTGAATCTAAGTTGAAATCTTAATGGGTTTGTAACTGTGCACTGTGTTAGATAATGTTCCAGTGGTCTGTCGGACATTTCTCCACAGTGCTGACATTTCCTCTCATCTTCTGGAACCTGTAAGCCTATTTCCCATGCACATGAGTATCCAAGCCTGATGCGATATAAGTGTGGGGAAAACTGCCGGGATTGATATGAGAGGAGAACTACTAGGGACTTGTACTGTACTAAAATTAAAAATTTACTGTATGCAAAATTAATTCAACTAAAGTCTCTAGCTAGGGTCGTAAATCCTAGCTCCTCTTTTCCTAATGACAGACTGTGGGCTGTAAGGGGCCGGTGGGGTGAATGAATTAGTTAATTTTTTTTTTTTTGAGATATATACAAGAGTTGTTACACTCTTGTACAGCCACTAGTACGCATAGCGTTTCGGGCAGGTCCCTGGAATACGATCCCCTGCCGCGAAGAATCGTTTTTTCATCCAAGTACACATTTTACTGTTGCGTTAAACAGAGGCTACAGTTAAGGAATTGCGCCCAGTAAATCCTCCTCGGCCAGGATACGAACCCATGACATAGCGCTCGCGGAACGCCAGGCGAGTGTCTTACCACTACACCACGGAGACTGTAATGGTTCCACAATCCACCTGCAGGCAATTATCTCACATTAGCTTGTATTGTTTATACAAGATTAAGATTTTAATAAATTCAGTTCTATGACTGAACACTGGATCTGTTTAAAGCAGGGATTTAAACGTGTACACAGTCCAGCCTAGCACCATAACTATCAACAGCCAATATTCATTTACTATAAACAACAGTTTAAATTGTAGTAGTATGATATCAAATGACCTTAAATGTGGTCTAAGTACTGTTAACTAAGTAATAAAGATTATATTCAATTAGATAAACTTATATTACAAATTAAAGATAACTAAGCAAGCAATTGTTAACTTAATTCATATGTTCAAGGATATATATATATTGATATATTCAATTTATATGAAGAGGTTCAGTCAACACGATTTTCATCGGTTGGTGCTAATCTTGACAGTAAAATCCCACAGACTCAGACACATATTAACACATATCTCTCAGGCAGCTGTCCAAACTCTCTTCTCCTTTCACCAATCAGCCCGGCAGATGTTGTGTCCATCATACACTCTCTAAAAACCAAGGCAGGGAGGAACACCAGTGAAATTCCGTCCATTGTGTACAAGAGAGCCTCCCATGCCCTTGCCCACCCATAGCACTACTGTTCAACAAATCTATAGAGTGTCACACCTTCCCTGATATCCTCAAAAAAGCAAGAGTAACGCCAGTCCATAAAGGAGGCAATCCGGCGGACATAAACAATTATAGACCAATATCAAATCAACCCATTCTATCAAAAAATTTGAAAAAATTATTTACAAACAGCTCTATTCCTACCTCGTAAAATTCGACATACTCAGCCCCTGCCAGTTTGGCTTCCGGTCCCAAAAGAGCACCAATGATGCAATCATTAGTCTCCTTGACATTATCTACTCAGCCCTTGACAAAAATGAGTTTCCGATTGGACTCTTCATTGACCTAAGAAAAGCCTTTGATACTGTTAATCACAACTACCTCTTACTTAAACTCCAGCATATATAGAATCCGAGGCCTTGCCCTTGACTACATCCGATCCTATCTTAGTGACAGACACCAATATGTAACCATCAATGATACAACTTCTTCCACTCTACCAATTACCGTTGGAGTGCCACAGGCAGCATCTTAGGACCTCTTCTATTTCTTATATATATAAACGATCTGCCTAATGTCTCTAATATTCTCAAACCTATACTGTTTGCTGACGATACTACTCTTATCTATTCAAACCTCAACCCACATACACTAAATAATGTTGTGAATAATGAATTAAAAAAAGTCCACTTATGGATGTCAACGAACAAACTAACATTAAACATCGAAAAGACTTACTACATCTTATTTGGAAGCAAATCATCAAATGCAATTCAGCTACAGATAGACAACATCAACATCAGTAATAAAAATGATGGCAAATTTCTTGGCCTATTCCTAGACAAGAGACTCAACTTCAGCACCCACATTCAACACATAACTAAGAAAGTCTCTAAGACAGTTGGTATACTCTCCAAAATCAGATATTATGTTCCTAACTCTGCTCTCCTCTCACTATATTATGCACTAATCTACCCCTATCTTAATTATGGTATCTGTGCATGGGGTCTACCACTGCAAACCACCTTAAGCCCATCATCACACAGCAAAAATCTGCTATCAGAATAATAACTAACTCTGCTTTCAGACAACACTCAGCTCCATTGTTTAAATCCCTAAACTTGCTAAATATTAACTCCCTCCACACATCCTCCTGTGTCAACTACATTTACAAAACCCTGTTCTCAAATGCAAACCATGCTCTGAAACTCTCCCTGGACAGATGTAATAGGACCCATTATCACCACACCAGAAATAACATTTTTAAAATGAAATAAATAAAAAGAAAAAATAAAGAAATAAATTTTTTGTCAACTACCATTCAAGCTGTCATTGCAATCAATCTCAGCTACCTATGTGCTTTAATATACTGTACCTACAATTTTCTCTCATCTTTTTTTCATTTCATGTAATCTGTTATCATTTTTTTGTCTATAATTTTTGCAAGTATTTACCTCCTTAAAATTGTCTTAGATTAAGGACCTGCCCGAAACGCTGCGCGTGCTAGTGGCTTTACAAGACTGTAATACCATATTTGTATCCTCACATTCCTTATGTACATTCTTGTATATGCATAAATAAATAAATAAATAAAGATTGAAGCTTTTTTCACACAAGGGTCACTCATGAGGTTTTCTTTATCTCGTGAGTGTCTTTATGCTTGGAAAAGATTCAGCTGCTGCAATATTAATAAACTTACTGAAATATGAGGCGTTGCCTCACTCTATAACCGACAGACAGACTTATTGGATATATTAAAGTTATACAAGCATACAATTAGCCAATTAATACACTAAATAACATTCAATATACTTCTCTGAATGCCGGTGCCTGTCTGCCAAGTGTGCCAGACCGGATAACTCTCTTGTCGAGTTTAGGCATGATATTTTATATCACAGCTTTGCTCTGTACTGTTCTAGTAGCGTTGCTAATTGATTATGTCTTTAATTGCGGTTGCAATAGGCTAGATAAGTGATGATGGTGGAGGTGGAGACAGCATACCTTGTGTGCGCCACTCTACTCTTATTTAGATATTTTCTAGGAATTTTTCCTTGTAGATATATTGTCCAGGTACTCCTCCAGTTCTAGAGAGTAATCACTGGTGATAAAGATAATTGGATAAGGTGTCCTAAGCTGAATAATTGTTCGCAAGGCACTGTGACACGTTTTCACTGTTTTGTAAACACAAGCGTTTTGGCTCGGCGGTGGTGGGTGCTTCTCTCCCAGCCATCGTCCCCCCCCCCCCCCCATGCTCCCTGAGCACGGTAGCCTTCAATGAATATTGATTGATTATTTTTACTGTCTAGACATATGAGTGAGATAAGATGTGATTATAATATAATTAGAAATAAGATTTAAAGATTATAAGTAGTACTTGCTAGCACTATTGATCTTATTAAGGATTTGATAATAATCCCTACCGGAAATCGATTCTATTGTTCCAATAGTTTTTTAATTAAGAAATCCTTCTAGAAGCTTCTGGATCCTTGAGAAATCATGCACAAAGGCATGTAGGCAACCAAGGGCGCTATGGTCATACGTGATCATAGGTGGCATTGTCTTGTAGGATCTTGGAATATAATGGAATATAATGAATCTGTAGTGAGTCTGATATGATTTTGAAATGATTTTATTATGATTTAGATACGATATAGAAATAATACATTCTTAGATAATAATATAGATATAGTGGGTAAAAATTTCCCACAGTAAGTGTACTTCTGTTGTTCTACTGCTCCCACAGACTCAGACACATATTAACACATATCTCTCAGGCAGCTGTCCAAACTCTCTTCTCCTTTCACCATCAGCCCGGCAGATGTTGTGTCCATCATACACTCTCTAAAAACCAAGGCAGGGAGGAACACCAGTGAAATTCCGTCCATTGTGTACAAGAGAGCCTCCCATGCCCTTGCCCCACCCATAGCACTACTGTTCAACAAATCTATAGAGTGTCACACACTTCCCTGATATCCTCAAAAAAGCAAGAGTAACGCCAGTCCATAAAGGAGGCAATCCGGCGGACATAAACAATTATAGACCAATATCAAATCAACCCATTCTATCAAAAATATTTGAAAAAATTATTTACAAACAGCTCTATTCCTACCTCGTAAAATTCGACATACTCAGCCCCTGCCAGTTTGGCTTCCGGTCCCAAAGAGAGCACCAATGATGCAATCATTAGTCTCCTTGACATTATCTACTCAGCCCTTGACAAAAATGAGTTTCCGATTGGACTCTTCATTGACCTAAGAAAAGCCTTTGATACTGTTAATCACAACTACCTCTTACTTAAACTCCAGCATTATAGAATCCGAGGCCTTGCCCTTGACTACATCCGATCCTATCTTAGTGACAGACACCAATATGTAACCATCAATGATACAACTTCTTCCACTCTACCAATTACCGTTGGAGTGCCACAGGGCAGCATCTTAGGACCTCTTCTATTTCTTATATATATAAACGATCTGCCTAATGTCTCTAATATTCTCAAACCTATACTGTTTGCTGACGATACTACTCTTATCTATTCAAACCTCAACCCACATACACTAAATAATGTTGTGAATAATGAATTAAAAAAAGTCCACTTATGGATGTCAACGAACAAACTAACATTAAACATCGAAAAGACTTACTACATCTTATTTGGAAGCAAATCATCAAATGCAATTCAGCTACAGATAGACAACATCAACATCAGTAATAAAAATGATGGCAAATTTCTTGGCCTATTCCTAGACAAGAGACTCAACTTCAGCACCCACATTCAACACATAACTAAGAAAGTCTCTAAGACAGTTGGTATACTCTCCAAAATCAGATATTATGTTCCTAACTCTGCTCTCCTCTCACTATATTATGCACTAATCTACCCCTATCTTAATTATGGTATCTGTGCATGGGGGTCTACCACTGCAAACCACCTTAAGCCCATCATCACACAGCAAAAATCTGCTATCAGAATAATAACTAACTCTGCTTTCAGACAACACTCAGCTCCATTGTTTAAATCCCTAAACTTGCTAAATATTAACTCCCTCCACACACATTCTCCTGTGTCAACTACATTTACAAAACCCTGTTCTCAAATGCAAACCATGCTCTGAAACTCTCCCTGGACAGATGTAATAGGACCCATTATCACCACACCAGAAATAACATTTTTAAAATGAAATAAATAAAAAGAAAAATAAAGAAATAAATTTTTTGTCAACTACCATTCAAGCTGTCATTGCAATCAATCTCAGCTACCTATGTGCTTTAATATACTGTACCTACAATTTTCTCTCATCTTTTTTTCATTTCATGTAATCTGTTATCATTTTTTTGTCTATAATTTTTGCAAGTATTTACCTCCTTAAAATTGTCTTAGATTAAGGACCTGCCCGAAACGCTGCGCGTGCTAGTGGCTTTACAAGACTGTAATTACCATATTTGTATCCTCACATTCCTTATGTACATTCTTGTATATGCATAAATAAATAAATAAATAAAGATTGAAGCTTTTCCCACACAAGGGACACTCATGAAGTTTTCTTTATCTCGTGAGTGTCTTTATGCTTGGAAAAGATTCAGCTGCTGCACTACAATATTAATAAACTTACTGAAATATGAGGCGTTGCCTCACTCTATAACCGACAGACAGACTTATTGGATATATTAAAGTTATACAAGCATACACTTAGCCAATTAATACACTAAATAACATTCAATATACTTCTCTGAATGCCAGGTGCCTGTCTGACAAGTGTGCCAGACCGGATAACTCTCTTGTCGAGTTTAGGCATGATATTTTATATCACAGCTTTGCTCTATAATGTTCTAGTAGCGTTGCTAATTGATTATGTCTTTAATTGCGGTTGCAATAGGCTAGATAAGTGATGATGGTGGAGGTGGAGACAGCAATACCTTGTGTGCGCCACTCTACACTTATTTAGATATTTTCTAGGAATTTTTCCTTGTAGATATATTGTCCAGGTACTCCTCCAGTTCTAGAGAGTAATCACTGGTGATAAAGATAATTGGATAAGGTGTCCTAAGCTGAATAAATGTTCGCAAGGCACTGTGACACGTTTTCACTGTTTTGTAAACACAAGCGTTTTGGCTCGGCGGTGGTGGGTGCTTCTCTCCCAGCCATCGTCCCCCCCCCCTTCCCCATGCTCCCTGAGCACGGTAGCCTTCAATGAATATTGATTGATTATTTTTACTGTCTAGAAATATGAGTGAGATAAGATGTGATTATAATATAATTAGATATAAGATTTAAAGATTATAAGTAGTACTTGCTAGCACTATTGATTCTTATTAAGATTGATATAATCCCTACCGGATATCGATTCTATTGTTCCAATAGTTTTTTAATTAAGAAATCCTTCTAGAAGCTTCTGGATCCTTGAGAAATCATGCACAAAGGCATGTAGGCAACCAAGGGCGCTATGGTCATACGTGATCATAGGTGGCATTGTCTTGTAGGATCTTGGAATATAATGGAATATAATGAGTCTGATATAATTTTGAAATGATTTTGTTATGATTTAGATACGATATAGAAATAATACATTTCTTAGATAATAATATAGATATAGTGGGTAAAAATTTCCCACAGTAAGTGTACTTCTGTTGTTCTACTGCTCCCTTTCATCAAACTAAGTGCTTCATAGTTGGTTGAATTTTTGTACCAACCCGCAGATCCTGATGTTGCAACTGCTGTGTTGTGGTCACTGTACATCTTCTGCATTGCTCTGTTTCTAATTACTTTCTTAATCTGTGATAGACTCTGTGGTCTGTAAATGTCTGCATTTCTTCTCTTAGTTGCAAGTTTTGCAGCTTGGTCTGCAATGTCATTTCCTATTATTCCCACATGACTTGGCACCCAGTTGATGAGTACATGTCGGCCAAAATGGGGAGATGAGTGGGAGAGAGTGAAGGGTAAGGAGAATGAGAGGGCAGAAGGGACTAAGAGTGGGAGTTAAATGTCCCACATCATCCCCCCATAAGGTGTATCAATAATCTCCCACCACGGCAGACACACCTCCCACCTGAGTGGCGGAGGCTGTGAGCATCATGGCGGCCATGACACACTGGTGTGTGTGTGGGGGGGGGGGGGCAATACGACAATAATAAAGGTAGTGTAGATATTGGCCCAGACCATGTTGTTGTTTTAACTTCAGCAACTGGGAACCCAGAGTTGCAAGTAGCACAGGCTATGGTGAGCCCATAGTGGACTTACCTTTCACAGAATCAGGGCTGTAACTGTCCTGGACCAGACCAGGCAAACTCATTCACATGTCTAATCGGTACAGCGACGGCCTCGCTTCTTATAGGGTCAGCATTCGATCCCTGATAGTTAAAATGGTTGGGCACCTTCATTCCTTGCTCATATCCCAGCTGTTAGTCTGTCCCATATCCATTGCAAGTGGTATATATAGTGATAGTGGACTAGTGGTGTCTCCTGGTAATGACGTTACTCATGTGCCTGAGGTGCCTGGTTCCCTTACAGACGTACAGCGCGGACAAGGTGGTGACGGACTCGGCCGCCAGCTCTACCGCCTACCTCAGCGGAGTGAAGGGCAACCAGGCCACCATCGGGGTGGACGCCAATGTCCAGCTGGCCGACTGCAACGCCATGAACGTCCCCCAGTTCCATACCCACAGTATCCTCAAGAACTTCCAGGTGAGGGTACATGTTGCAGCTGGTGTCCCTCAGGTCAATGTGTGTGAGAGAGAAAGTTAGCTAACATGCTTGCCCTTGTATCTACATCTCTCATGTATGTGCACAAATGTGTTGGTTAATGGTGAGTAAACAATAATGGGTGGCGTGTTCCCACAGGACGCTGGGCGCTCCACTGGCATAGTCACAGTGACTCGTGTGACCCATGCCTCACCTGCCGGCACATACGCTCACACCGCTGAGAGGTGAGTCAGGCCAGAGGTAGCCAGCGAGGTGAGTCTGGTGCAGTATAGCGGGCAGGAAGGTGAGTCACATGCACATTTGCAGACAAAAAGATGAGTAAACACAGATGTAGGCTCCGCAACGGGTCCACAGTCTAGAGAGATGAGTGAGGGTGAATATCGTGACACGTGTGGTCGTTGTAGTGTGATGACATGTTGAGTCGTCCCCAGGCATTGGGAGAGTGACGATGACATCAACGACGCCGAGGGCGACCCAGACCTGTGCGACGACATCGCAGAGCAGCTGATACTGGGCGAGACTGGCTCCAGGATCAAGGTACGCTTACCAGCCCGTCCTCCTAACGTTTCCCCAACGTCAAGAAACTGTCGTACTAAAGTGCCCTTATCCTAACCTACCACAGGACGCAAAACAGAAAACGGGACAGTGTGTCACAGTTCGCGAGCTGCTCTCATTTTCTAGTACGACCATTTCTGGCCTTAAGGAGAGTATACGCGAGAGTATATACCCTTCGTGACCCTACACGACACTTATACGATCCAATACAACCTCCTATGGCACCTGAGGATCTTCATGAATAATAATAATAATAATAATAATAATAATTTTTATTTAGGCAAAGGTACATACATAAAGAGATTTTACAAAGTTTGTTGGCTTTATAGATAAGAGCTAGTACATACAATGCCTAAAGCCACTATTACGCAAAGCGTTTCGGGCAGAGACACTCTACAACACTTGCACGACTCCCATACGACTATTATGAGTTAAAATCTCTCTCTTTGATCAATAACTAACACTAGGAACATCTGGTTTAATCATTAAAAGAGCGATATGCACACACGCAACAAATCCTGCAACAAAAGTTTGCAATGAAGATTATTTCTACGTTATTTCTAAATATTCGTGTGTACGATAACATGTACACTTCCGGCACCAAACACTGATCTTGAGTGGCTGAAGTAGAAAAATAACATGCAAAAATAAAAATAAAACAGGTAAACTGAAAATATATTATAAATAAATACACAATATAAATGTAAAATATAATACAATACACGAATATGATGGTAAAATTTTGAAATATTTAAATTTGAATATTGGCGGGTGTTGCAGGTTATCCTTGGTGGCGGGCGTCAGAAGTTTACACCTAAAAATGTGGTAGAGGATCCTGAAGGCGGCGACGGAGGCAAGAGAGACGACGGCAAGAATCTTATACAAACTTGGATTGACCAGAAAGTTCTTCTTGGCAATTCATCATACGTGTGGCACCGCAACGACCTCCTTACCCTAGACACTGCCCATACTGACTACCTCATGGGTGAGACTGTCTAATACTATCTGTCTATGGAGGAGTTTATATACCATCTCAACGTTCCATATATTTAGCGCTATATATATATATCTTTACGAATATATATGACAGCCAAGCAGACTATATTATGGTAAAAGTTATCGTACCGGTGGATAGCATCGAATGAAATACCTGTTAATTCTATCTCCTTCCCTGGCCATTGCAACATAGCCCCTGGCTAATGACCCAACTACTTAACAGGACTGTTCGACTGGGGCCACGTAGCGTACACTGTGGACCAGGACAGCAGCAACCCGTCCCTAGAGGAGATGACCCGGGCCGCCATCGAGGTCCTGCAGAAGGACGCCAACGGTTACTTCCTCTTTGTCGAAGGTCCAGTATACTGATGCTCCTCCCGTGGTCCCCACCATGCTACACGCTCACTGTGTGGTCCCCACCATGCTACACACTGTGTGGTCCCCACCATGCTACACACTGTGTGGTCCCCACCATGCTACACACTGTGTGGTTCCCACCATGCTACACGCTCACTGTGTGGTTCCCACCATGCTACACGCTCACTGTGTGGTTCCCACCATGCTACACACTGTGTGGTCCCCACCATGCTACACACTGTGTGGTTCCCACCATGCTACACACTGTGTGGTCCCCACCATGCTACACACTGTGTGGTTCCCACCATGCTACACACTGTGTGGTTCCCACCATGCTACACGCTCACTGTGTGGTCCCCACCATGCTACACACTGTGTGGTCCCCACCATGCTACACACTGTGTGGTCCCCACCATGCTACACACTGTGTGGTTCCCACCATGCTACACACTGTGTGGTCCCCACCATGCTACACACTGTGGTTCCCACCATGCTACACACTGTGTGGTTCCCACCATGCTACACACTGTGTGGTTCCCACCATGCTACACACTGTGTGGTTCCCACCATGCTACACACTGTGTGGTCCCCACCATGCTACACACTGTGTGGTTCCCACCATGCTACACACTGTGTGGTTCCCACCATGCTACACACTGTGTGGTCCCCACCATGCTACACACTGTGTGGTTCCCACCATGCTACACACTGTGTGGTCCCCACCATGCTACACACTGTGGTTCCCACCATGCTACACACTGTGTGGTTCCCACCATGCTACACACTGTGTGGTTCCCACCATGCTACACACTGTGTGGTCCCCACCATGCTACACACTGTGTGGTTCCCACCATGCTACACACTGTGTGGTCCCCACCATGCTACACACTGTGTGGTTACCACCATGCTACACACTGTGGTTCCCACCATGCTACACACTGTGTGGTTCCCACCATGCTACACACTGTGTGGTTCCCACCATGCTACACACTGTGGTTCCCACCATGCTACACACTGTGTGGTTCCCACCATGCTACACACTGTGTGGTTCCCACCATGCTACACGCTCACTGTGTGGTCCCCACCATGCTACACACTGTGTGGTCCCCACCATGCTACACACTGTGTGGTCCCCACCATGCTACACGCTCTCTGTGTGGTCCCCACCATGCTACACACTGTGTGGTCCCCACCATGCTACACACTGTGTGGTTCCCACCATGCTACACACTGTGTGGTTCCCACCATGCTACACACTGTGTGGTCCCCACCATGCTACACGCTCACTGTGTGGTCCCCACCATGCTACACGCTCACTGTGTGGTCCCCACCATGCTACACACTGTGTGGTTCCCACCATGCTACACGCTCACTGTGTGGTTCCCACCATGCTACACACTGTGTGGTTCCCACCATGCTACACACTGTGTGGTCCCCACCATGCTACACGCTCTCTGTGTGGTCCCCACCATGCTACACGCTCTCTGTGTGGTCCCCACCATGCTACACACTGTGTGGTTCCCACCATGCTACACGCTCTCTGTGTGGTCCCCACCATGCTACACACTGTGTGGTCCCCACCATGCTACACACTGTGTGGTCCCCACCATGCTACACACTGTGTGGTTCCCACCATGCTACACACTGTGTGGTTCCCACCATGCTACACGCTCTATGTGTGGTCCCCACCATGCTACACACTGTGTGGTTCCCGCCATGCTACACACTGTGTGGTCCCCACCATGCTACACACTGTGTGGTTCCCACCATGCTACACGCTCACTGTGTGGTTCCCACCATGCTACACACTGTGTGGTCCCCACCATGCTACACACTGTGTGGTTCCCACCATGCTACACGCTCACTGTGTGGTTCCCACCATGCTACACACTGTGTGGTCCCCACCATGCTACACACACACTGTGTGGTTCCCACCATGCTACACGCTCACTGTGTGGTCCCCACCATGCTACACGCTGTGTGGTCCCCACCATGCTACACACTGTGTGGTCCCCACCATGCTACACACTGTGTGGTCCCCACCATGCTACACGCTCTCTGTGTGGTTCCCACCATGCTACACGCTGTGTGGTCCCCACAATGCTACACACTGTGTGGTCCCCACCATGCTACACGCTCTCTGTGTGGTTCCCACCATGCTACACACTGTGTGGTCCCCACCATGCTACACACTGTGTGGTCCCCACCATGCTACACACTGTGTGGTTCCCACCATGCTACACACTGTGTGGTTCCCACCATGCTACACACTGTGTGGTTCCCACCATGCTACACACTGTGTGGTTCCCACCATGCTACACACTGTGTGGTTCCCACCATGCTACACACTGTGTGGTCCCCACCATGCTACACACTGTGTGGTTCCCACCATGCTACACACTGTGTGGTCCCCACCATGCTACACACTGTGTGGTCCCCACCATGCTACACACTGTGTGGTCCCCACCATGCTACACACTGTGTGGTCCCCACCATGCTACACACTGTGTGGTTCCCACCATGCTACACGCTCACTGTGTGGTTCCCACCATGCTACACACTGTGTGGTCCCCACCATGCTACACACTGTGTGGTTCCCACCATGCTACACACTGTGTGGTCCGCACCATGCTACACACTGTGTGGTCCCCACCATGCTACACGCTCACTGTGTGGTTCCCACCATGCTACACACTGTGTGGTCCCCACCATGCTACACGCTCTCTGTGTGGTTCCCACCATGCTACACACTGTGTGGTTCCCACCATGCTACACGCTCACTGTGTGGTTCCCACCATGCTACACACTGTGTGGTCCCCACCATGCTACACGCTCACTGTGTGGTTCCCACCATGCTACACACTGTGTGGTCCCCACCATGCTACACGCTCTCTGTGTGGTCCCCACCATGCTACACGCTCTCTGTGTGGTCCCCACCATGCTACACGCTCACTGTGTGGTCCCCACCATGCTACACACTGTGTGGTCCCCACCATGCTACACACTGTGTGGTCCCCACCATGCTACACGCTCACTGTGTGGTTCCCACCATGCTACACGCTGTGTGGTCCCCACCATGCTACACGCTCTCTGTGTGGTTCCCACCATGCTACACACTGTGTGGTTCCCACCATGCTACACGCTCACTGTGTGGTTCCCACCATGCTACACACTGTGTGGTCCCCACCATGCTACACGCTCACTGTGTGGTTCCCACCATGCTACACACTGTGTGGTCCCCACCATGCTACACGCTCTCTGTGTGGTTCCCACCATGCTACACACTGTGTGGTTCCCACCATGCTACACGCTCACTGTGTGGTTCCCACCATGCTACACACTGTGTGGTCCCCACCATGCTACACGCTCACTGTGTGGTTCCCACCATGCTACACACTGTGTGGTCCCCACCATGCTACACGCTCTCTGTGTGGTCCCCACCATGCTACACGCTCTCTGTGTGGTCCCCACCATGCTACACGCTCACTGTGTGGTCCCCACCATGCTACACACTGTGTGGTTCCCACCATGCTACACACTGTGTGGGCCCCACCATGCTACACACTGTGTGGTTCCCACCATGCTACACACTGTGTGGTCCCCACCATGCTACACACTGTGTGGTCCCCACCATGCTACACACTGTGTGGTTCCCACCATGCTACACGCTCTCTGTGTGGTTCCCACCATGCTACACACTGTAATTACCTAAGTGTAATTACCTAAGTGTAGTTACAGGATGAGAGCTACGCTCGTGGTGTCCCGTCTTCCCAGCACTCTTTGTCATATAACGCTTTGAAACTACTGACGGTCTTGGCCTCCACCACCTTCTCACTTAACTTGTTCCAACCGTCTACCACTCTATTTGCGAAGGTGAATTTTCTTATATTTCTTCGGCATCTGTGTTTAGCTAGTTTAAATCTATGACCTCTTGTTCTTGAAGTTCCAGGTCTCAGGAAGTCTTCCCTGTCGATTTTGTCAATTCCTGTTACTATTTTGTATGTAGTGATCATATCACCTCTTTTTCTTCTGTCTTCTAGTTTTGGCATATTTAATGCTTCTAACCTCTCCTCGTAGCTCTTGCCCTTCAGTTCTGGGAGCCACTTAGTAGCATGTCTTTGCACCTTTTCCAGTTTGTTGATGTGCTTCTTAAGATATGGGCACCACACAACAGCTGCATATTCTAGCTTTGGCCTAACAAAAGTCATGAACAATTTCTTTAGTATATCGCCATCCATGTATTTAAATGCAATTCTGAAGTTAGAAAGCATAGCATAGGCTCCTTGCACAATATTCTTTATGTGGTCCTCAGGTGATAGTTTTCTATCTAGAACCACTCCTAGATCTCTTTCTTTATCAGAATTCTTTAAAGATTTCTCACATAATATATAGGTTGTGTGGGGTCTATGTTCTCCTATTCCACATTCCATAACATGACATTTATTAACATTAAATTCCATTTGCCAAGTGGTGCTCCATATACTTATTTTGTCCAGGTCTTTTTGAAGGGCATGACAGTCATCTAAATTTCTTATCCTTCCTATTATCTTAGCATCATCAGCAAACATGTTCATATAATTCTGTATACCAACTGGTAGATCATTTATGTACACAATAAACATCACTGGTGCAAGAACTGAACCCTGTGGTACTCCACTTGTGACATTTCTCCATTCTGATACATTGCCTCTGATTACTGCCCTCATTTTTCTATCAGTCAGAAAATTTTTCATCCATGATAGAAGCTTACCTGTCACCCCTCCAATATTTTCCAGTTTCCAGAACAACCTCTTATGTGGAACTCTGTCGAAAGCCTTTTTTAGGTCCAGATAGATGCAGTCAACCCAACCATCTCTTTCCTGTAATATCTCTGTGGCTCGATCATAGAAACTGAGTAAATTCGATACACAGGATCTTCCAGATCGAAAACCATACTGTCTGTCTGATATTATATCATTTCTCTCTAGGTGTTCTACCCATTTAGTTTTGATTAGTTTT